TCTACGTGTACGACTCCTCTTCTTCATCCTGAGACATTTGCGTTCTTCAGTTTCACGTCCGTCACGTGTTAGAAACCTCAGAGACACGCCCACTCGCTTCCCTGATTTCAAACATGTGCAGAATAAAAAAATTGAAAGTTGACTCAGAACCCTCGTGTCCTTCCAGATGTTTTGTTCAGTCATTGTCTTCTGGCCTGCGGTCAGGAGGCAGCTGTAGGGTTTCCCAGACATGCTTTCCAGCTGTTGGGATCCCAAGGCCTGATGGGATATGTAGTTCCTCCAGCGAGTATTGGGCAGGTCCGGTAAAAAGAAGTCGCCCAGGAGGATCCTGACAAGATGCCGTGGCCACATGACCTGTCCTCTTTCAGCATGAAGGAGCAGTGGTTCTACTCCGTGTGGATACCTGAGCTCCTCAAACTGTCTCCAAAGCTCCAGACACCAGAAAACTCGTGAACAACTTTATTGTTGGGTGATTTATCCGCTGACTGTCCTGTAGGCTCAGTGTGAATTCCTCCGGGTTGAATGGGGAAAGAGAAGCTCCAGGGAAAACCTCCTCCTCCTCTGCTGCTGTACCCGGAGCAGATTCCATAAAGTCCTGAGGCCTGAGATCACGGAGGTGGAACCTTTGTCAGAGCTCTCGCTCTGCAGCGTCTGAGCCTCCTGAATAACTTGCAGTGAGATCAGTGTGGCAGATAAAGCCTGGGAATAACAACAACATCCTATTTCTGGAGGAGAAACCTGCAGAGGCTCATTTTGTGCGATTAGCTCAAAGCCTTTCCCATTTTTGTACACAACGTTTTTTTCCCACAATCCCCGACTTCCTTCCTCTTTCTTCCCCTCACTTCCTCTTCCCTCCTCCTCCAGCAGCTGGGTGTGGCAGCAGCTGCTTCTGGAAGAATCGCCCCGACAACAGATCTCTCTCCAGGGATTCTGCCTCGTTTTGAAACGTGCAGGTTATTTCAGTTTCAGAGTCAGTTAATTAAGATGGAAGAGAGTTCATATGTGGAGTAATGAGTCCGAACAGTTAATCATATGTAGATTGATCAATTCATTTTACAGATATGACAGATTATGTTTTTTGAATTGCTGTGCAGAGGTTTTATCTGCTCAGGACTTCAGGGTGTTTCACATAAATCTGGATGAAAGCATCCGATCAGTCAACATGGATGTTACGTGTAAAACTCACCCGTCGACAGGGGTTAATGCAAGGAGCTAAATTATAGGGAAACCACAGATGCAGATTAGGGACAGGTTGATCCGTCCTTTACGTAGATCTGCTTCCCTCTCTGTGTTTGTTTAAGTGCAATGAAAGAGTTAATTAACTGTCTCGATCCGTAACGTCTGTGATTAACTCTCTGACACTGTTTGTTTCATTTGTAATCTATGAGGTTCTTTTTGTGTGAGAGACAATTTTCCAAATTTACTTTGACCTGATGTCCTTCACCATCCCCAGCGTGAGGGTTGTTCACGACGATACACACGAAGGGATGAAAGTGTGAAACAGAACCAGGAAAATAAATTGTGAAGCCACAGAGATGGAGAAGAGAGGCTGTGAGTGGGAGAGGTGGAGGAAGTGTGATGGAGAAATAATAAAGAGGAGATTGAGAGTCGGAGGAAAAATAGAAACAGGGTGACAGAAGAAACATCATTTATCAAAAAGCTCTGCTGGTCACAGGGTTGTGTTTGTCTGTGCGTGTGTGCGTGTGTGTGTGTGTGT